AATCAGCAAACAGCTCCTCCAGCGGCTTGCACAATAACAGGTACGCCATCATGACCGCACTGGCCCGCTTGTCCATGTAGTGTGCAGCATGCGACTCGCGGTTGCTGATCCATGTGGTTTTGCCTTGTCGCGCGACAAACGCCAAGCGGTCTCCGGAGAAGAAGACATTTCTGGGGCTGGCGGCGGAGTCGCGATAGAAAAGGCTCGGGTGTACCATCGCACGCACGGGGAGACCTATGCACAGGTGTATGGTGAAACTCTGCGTTGTGTACAGTAATATGTTCGTACGCCCAGACTACCAGACGTACCAGTTGAGAGGTGTGCATACGTCAATGCCAGGCGATTAAACCCTCGCAGGGAGCAGATTCAGCGCATTTTCGAGGTGATGGTATGTCTGTGGTCAATTCACAAAGCAAACAGAGCACATGGAAACATACCACTTCCGATCTACAGGACCGTACTTCATCTCGATGACAAGAACAATCACAATGTTTTACACGTCTTCTTGACGAGCGCCGTGAAGGATTATCAAACATCATCGCCAGGACTGGCGTCTTCCAGTACTACAGTAGCTTCTGGACATACGTTTATGCTCGTAGTCCAATACATATTAACGGTGCTTCTTGTGCTTCTTGTTTTTTTTTTTTTGTGCTCGCGCTTGCTCCGTTCCTCCTGCGGCGAGCTGCCCTCATCACCAGCTCGCGCAGCGCCGCAGCCGCCAATATTTAGTCACCATTGCCATCAGTCGATGTCATGACGAATGAAGATGGGCGGTTTCTCGCTTTTTTTCAGTGGTTGTTGGACTGTTCTGCTTCAGATGCTTGGCAAAGCCTGTCCTGTCCGTTGACTTTATTTTTTGTTTGCATGGCAATTAACAAGGCAAGCACAAGCGTCACGCTTTTCAATTCGTAGGTGCAGCTTGAGCGGCGGACGTTAGAGCGGCCACGCGATCACCAAGGGTTTGTAGATCTTGAATATTGAACGATTGAGGATCCACGCGCCAGCCGACGCTACAGAGTACAGCAGCAGCGCGTCGCCAGCGTTTGACCTGCTCCGCATGAATCAAGCCTTGTACTGGCGCCAGGTAAAAGTCCGATGAGGACAAGACAATGCGGACAATAACAAGTGGATCAGGTTCGCACCATCGGGATTCGAAGTTTGGTAGGAGCAAGGGGTACGGGTTGCGCCCAATAGTTCTTCAATCAGCTATAAATTGAAACAGATTCAACGTTAAGCAAGCTTGTCTCTGCAATCAGTACCACAGGAAAAATTGCCCACCTCCAGGTTGATGCGACTCTTGCAAAGGAGCAGATCCAAGGGCCGTTCACCCGTCTGCAACAGCAGTATATAAGATAATCAGTATTTGGAAACATCAGGCCTGTTTTCATAAACAGGGGCGAAGGGGACCATCGAGTGTTACGGGGTAAAACTGAAGAAACGACACTGAAAGCCGCCTGAACGCGCGAGAGAGGCAAAAGCGCGATGGCAAGGGATGGGGTAGTGCTCGGTTTGAAGTCACAACGTCAAGAAAAGGGAAGCGAACGGAAGATACAGCGAAACAAAGCGGGTGGCATGGAGCAGCGACAACGGGCGGACGCAAAACGGGCGTAGGAAAGGGATAGGGGGAAAGAAGAAAAGGAGCAAGGNGCAGAACGGACGAGCACGGGTGGGCAGGGTGTAGAGGAGAGAGCAAAGGCGGCGAGCAGCAGCAGCAGCAGCCAGAGGGGGTAAAGGGGGAAAGAGGGAGGTACTGTACTGACATTGGTCTTGGCTTCAGTATCAGCACCCTGCTTGAACAGCATCTCCCCCACCTTGTCATGACCGCTAAGGCAGGCATTGTGCAGTGGTGTCCAGCCATTCTGTGGGATGATGCGTTTAGCATGACGTACAGGTACAGCATCATCATCATCATCATCATCATCATCATCATCATCATCATCATCATCATCATCATCACATCATCATCATCATCATCATCATCATCATCATCATCATCATCATCATCATCATCATCATCATCTTCATCATCATGTGGTACAGGTGCACCATCATAGGGGGTAAAAAGGGGAAGAGGGAGGTACTGTACCGACCTTGGTCTTGGCTTTAGCATCAGCCCCGTGCTTTAACAGCATCTCCACCACCTTGACATGACCCCGATTGCAGGCATAGTGCAGTGGTGTATAGCCATACTGTGGGATGCATCAGCATGACGTCCAGGTGCAGCATCATCTTTTTCACCATCATGCGGTACAATAGGGCGTACAGAAGGGAAGAGCTACTGTACTGACCTTGCCCTTCAAGTTAGCATCAACACCGTGCTTCAACAGCATCTCCACCACCATGACATGACCGTGAATGCAGGCATAGTGCAGTTTTGTCCAGCCAAGCTGTGGACGATGCATCAGCATGACGTACAGGTACAGGAGCAGCATTTCTATTGTCATCATGCTGTGCAGATGAAGTGCGGAAGAGAGAGGTACCTTATCAACGTCGTTTTCGGCTTTAGCATCAGCACCGAGCTTCAACAGCATCTCCGCCACCTTAACATGACCGTATCGGCAGGCCATGTGCAGTGGTGTATAGCCAGTCTGTGGGATGATGCATCAGCATGACGTACAGGAGCAGCGAGTGGAGTAAAGCGGGGAAGAGTTGG